CCCCCGAAGATGCCCGATCGTAGTTGTGCTGTCCTTTTTGTAGCAAGGGCTGGAGGGAAAGCTGTCTCCCTCCACCCTGAAAGTTTATGTCGCTGCAATTGCTGCTAACCACGACTGGGGAAGTATGACCTGGTCGTCAGGTTCCTTAAGGGGGTTAAATCCTCCACGGCCGCCCTCTATACCCTCTTGGGACCTGACTCTAGTGCTCACGGCACTACAGCAGGACAGCAGTGAGCCTTTGCTGACGGTTGAGCTGAAGTCCCTCTCAATGAAGACTCTGCTCCTGCTGGCATGGGCCTCCATCAAGAGGGTAGGGGACCTGCATGCATTTTTGGTCAACGATTCGTGCCTAGAGTTCGGAGCCGGCTGATTCCCAGGTGACCCTGAGGGCCCGGCCCGGCTATGTGCCCAAGGTTCCCGCTACTCCCTTCAGGGATCAGGTGGTGAACCTCCAAGCGCTGCCCTCGGAGGAGGCAGACCCAGCCCTGGCTTTGTGCTGTCCCGTCCGAGCCTTAAGGGGCTACGTTGACCGGACGCAAAGCTTCAGGACCTCAGACCAGCTCATCACTTTCCAGAACATTCTTGTTCACCACTCCTGGCTGGTGGAACGATCTTCCCACCCCTATCCGGAATGCTGAATCCCTGACAATTTTCAAGCGACAGCTGAAAACTCATCTCTCTCGAAGCTACTTGACTTCATCATAAAAAAAAAATTTTTTTTTAAAAATCTCTCTCTTTATTTATTCCTTCTCTTTCTATCTTGTACTTATTTGAACAATGTCTAAGAACTTGGTATTACAACCACTTCTTGTGTCTGTTTGCCTCTTTAAGAAGAATCGCTTTATGTATCCCCCAATTGTAAGTCGCTTTGGATAAATGCGTCTGCTAAATGACTAAATGTAAATGTAAATGTAAATGTACATCACGATGTGGGAAGATTTGCATAACACCGCCCAAACGTTCACGCAAATAAAGAAGGCATAACTTTATTGTTGCTGCCACCGTCGCCGCCATGTCGTGGAGACACTGTGTGTTTCGTTGCGAAAGCGAAAATACTTTGTTTGGCCTTCCAAAAGAGGACACGACTAGAAATCAGTGGTTAAG